ATTATTATCAATATTATTTTATTTAACGTGAATATATTTATAAAAATTACTGTAACTAAATGGCGAATTTCTCACTCGAGAAAGCAATGTATTCTTTTATTTTCGTAGCAGAATTTTCTCCAAAAAACTTTGATGAAATCTTGTTTAAAATATCATCGTCTTGAATCTTTTCTTTTCGATAATTTCGGTTTAAATCATTTTTTTCATTAATAGATTTTCGAAGGTACTTATTTTGAATTTTAAGAAAATAAGCAATTATAACAGTAGTAAATAGTGCTTGGAATATTAAAAAGCAAGAAATTAATGTATTGAAAAGGTTCATGGTTTTTATTATAATAATTATTATAAGTTAATTAATTAAGATTCGTGATTCGTTATTCGTTATGGACAAAAAAAAATCTTGTTTATAAAATTTTGATTCAAAGTTGATTTACAAGATTTTCAATGATTTTCATGATTTGCATGATATTTATGTTAATATGTTCTGGCTTTTCCACTAAGATATATTCAGAAAGGCTTAGATTAATTTTATGATTATGATTAAACGGTTTAGTTCAGGCGTATCCGTTTTTGTTTGAAAATATCAATGACCGTATTAAAAGAAATAAGCACAGTTTAAATCACTACATTTATGTCACTGTCATTATTTATAAATAGATATTTTTCATTCTCGATTTTTTTGCTGTCAATTTTTTTATTTGTGCTTCCGTGGCCTGCATAGACAGATGTAATACGTCATTCTGTATCAATGGTCAAATTTTAAAAACGAAGTGCATATAAAAACGTTTATCTCACTCGAATGGACTTTATTATACAAAGTAGAAAGTGAATTAAAATTTTCTTTCGATTCATTCTTAAATTTTATTCCTTTTTTTACTTTGTAAATTAAATTGATCTTAAAACGAAAATCAATGATCTTGTTTATTAGAATCGATTTTATATACTGTATTTTATATCGATATGTCTTAATTAGTGCATGAATGTATTTACATATTACGTGTATAACGAATTAACTTCTCACCAAAGTACAAATCATAGGACCACATCTTTATCAAATATTCTCACTGATATCTAATATTGTTGTGGCTCAATGATATATTTTTATAAATTAGGAAATTTCTTGATTTTGACA